AAGGAGGCGCAGAAAGGCGTCCTTTGTGCCCGGGGGTCCCAGACCTTCAGTTCCCTTTGAGCAGAACATTTTGCAATGCTCAGAATGCGGGACTTGGTAGCCTGGTGGTTTTGGACTTGCCATCATTTGCTCATGATTTGCTCATCATTTGCTCATCATTTGCCACATTTTTTGGAGACCAAACCATACAAAGCCCACTTGTCTAACTTCCCTAAGTCATGCACCTTGCCTAAAAACCTCGGCTGTGTTGAGGTGGTGAAGTTCAGAGACTGGTTCCGGGCTGAGACATCTGGGCTGCATTTCACCATTCACCAATTTGATGGTTCGTCGGAAGGGAAAAATCATGGGAAATCCATCTTGGTTTTCGGGTATGGTCTGATCCCAAGGTATGGATTGTTTTTGTGATTTTTCCCTTCTGTTCCCCTGTTGGTTTGCAAAGTTGAGAACCAGCAAGAAACTTCTAATGCTGCTTTACAGGTGTCATCTCACTGTCCTTTGCTGATGTTTTGACAGAATCTCCCACTTTTTCTTTGAGAACTGGTTTGATTTTACAGGGATCCTTGGCTGGGAACATCAAGGTTTCCTCGAAATCTTCCCTTCAACCAACCTTTTAATGGCATGTTCTATAATTTTCTCCTTGGTTCCACAAATAGTTATTTTTTTCTTCTAGCTTGTTGCCTCAGATCCCCCTTAGGCCCGATGAGTCCCTTTCACCTCGAGCCGACTTGGTGGAGGTAGCGGTAGCTGAGCAGATGAAGTGACCATTTCTTCTGGTTTCCAGCGTCTGTTGGACGGGCAAATTGAAGGAAACTCCACCATTTGGCAGGTAAGAGCCATTGTTTCCTGTGGGTTTTCCTGCAGATGAGCCCAGTGACTGATTGCTCGACTGAGTGTGAAGCAGCTGGACTGAGTCAAACACCATCACAGGTGCATGGTCTCGCAGCATACTTTAAACAGATCAAGCTGCCCCAGTCTCTCTGAGACGTTTCAGCTATCGCGATGGATCTCAATGAGCCTCTGCTCCCTGAGCCAGCCCAGGCAGGAAAGCCAGCACCTGCAACCAACAGTTCAGGAATGAAACGAAACTGTTGGATGCGATTGGGCATGGGTGAAAAGGCCTTGCTGGATCTGCTGAAGGATGCTGATGTGGCAGCTGAGGCCTCCTCTGAGGACTCTGAAGGATGCTCCGAAGTCAGCCACAGTTGTGTGGTGATGGGACCTGCAGGTGCTGGCAAAACAACCTTGGTGAATGTCTTGGGAGGAGTTGATTTTCCAACGGGTCCTCAAGCCTCCGACAGGACTTTGGAGGCTCAAAGCTGTGACCTGAAGCTTCAGGATGTGGGGACGGTGGTGCTCATTGACACGCCCGGATGGAGTCCTGACACAAGCGTGGACATTGAGTCAGAGTACCAACAGGTCTTGAAGGAGAAGAAGCTCGTCTCAGAGCATGCGCCTCACATTGTCCTGTTGTGTGTCTCTGCCTCGAATATCCGACAGTTCCAGCACGAGGATGCGAAGAAGATGGGTGGCCAATTGATTGCGCTCAAGTTTGACCAGCGTTTTTGCATCAAAGTTCTTCCCATTGTCACCTTTGCAGACACCCAAGCTGAGAACGACTTGAAGAAGATCGTGCCTGAAATCAAGCAGCTGGTTGAAACAGTCTTCGAACAAACACGTTCAACAGTGGAGGAACCAGTCTTCACCATGGTTCCACCAAATGGAGAAGCTCAAGGAGTGGAGGAGGTCAAAGGTCGCGTGAGAAAGATGCTGCTTGAGCAAGTGCAGTCTGAGGTGTCGAGCGACGCCAGTGACTCTGCTTCTGAGGGTTCTTCCTGGACCAAATTTAGCTATCCCACTGGATCACCTGGATCGGCTGAATCCAGTGCCAAGAGCCCGGCACCGCTTGAGAATGAGGTTCCAGCACTGCTTGCTCATATCACCAAACATGCAAAGAAAGGATTTGAAGATACTCGAGTTCCGGCAACCTTTGTCGAGGATGTGACCAAGGTGCCGTTTCAGCTGATCCTCAACCATAGCTGTTTGGTGGTGGGGCCTGCCGGCGGTGGCAAAACCTTACTGGTGAATCATTTGGGAGGAGTCCAATTTGAGACTGGCCCCCTGGAGTGCCACAGAACTTTAAAGTTTCAAAGTTGTGACTTGAAACTGGAAAATGTTACGGAGAAATTGAGGGTCATGCTCATTGACACACCAGGCTGGAGCCCCAAAAATACCACGAACCTCAGATCAGGGTACCAGCAGTTCTTGAAAGAAAATCAGCTGGTGTCAGAGCATGCTCCGTATATCGTCTTGTTCTGCGTTTTTGCCTCCAATATCCGACAGTTCCAGCACGATGATGCGAAGAAGATGGGTGACGAATTGCAAAATCTCAAGTTTGACAAGAGTTTCCCAATCAAAGTTCTTCCCGTTGTCACCCATGCGGACGTTCGAGCTGAGAGCCAATTGAACTCAATCATGGATGTCATCACGAAACACATGGAAACGGCCTTCAAAAAGATTGGGGCAACAGTGGAGAAACCCGTTGCAACAAGAGTCCCGCCAGCTGGAGAAGCTCAAGGAGTGGAGGAGGTCAAAGGTCGCTTGAGAAAGATGCTGCTTGAGCAAGTGCAGTCTGATAACTTCAGTCGCCTTTGGCGCTTGGCCCTTGCAAAAAGCATAGTTTCTGAAACGAAGGAGCACGCAAAGAAGTTTCCAGAGAACGAATCATCTTTCCGCTTGTGGAAGAGAGCCTTTTGCACAGTGGCAGCTGGTTGCGGAAAAGAAATCTCTGATTTAGAGGAATTCGAGGAGATTACAGCCGCACTTGTAAAGTGTGACCAGGTTGAGGAGTTTCCATGGTGGACTATCTCGTTGATTCCACGCAGTCAGACAGAGACTTGGCTGCCGCCATTTTCGTACCAGGCAAGTTGCTTTCGAAAGTGGCTGGCACCCTTTCTCCTCATTGTCATGGTGATCGTGCTCTTGTTTTCGACTCTTCACACCTGGGATATGGAGGCGAGGTTTGACCAAATGTCACATGGCCTTGAGGAGGCCAAGGCCAACGAAACAAAGGTCAAGAACGAGAACAAGGCCTTACGTGGTGAGTATGGCAAGATGTATTCGTGCAGCTGGACACCTCAACCAGGGCAGTGCATGGGCTTGTCACAGCTTGACCGAGTTTGGACAGCGAAGGATTGCAGAGAAGTTTGCTGCAGAATGGGTCCGGAGATTTGTTCCACCTGGCAGTTTGACGGCAAATCTTCTGAGTGCTGGCTTGGGACTCCTACGGATTGCAGTGATGATGATGACGGCTGGGCTGGAGGTCGCTTGAGCAGCGCTTGAGCAGCGGCCAGAGGCCATAGTAAATCCTATTGGAAACATTTTAGTATCTTGGGAATCTATCACTAGCTGGATGTCTAGAATACACTATGTTTACCAAAAGAGCCGTTTTTACTTGGCTGTAAAATCAACATGTTTGTTGCTTTCCTTGCCATATTGTCCCCATACATTATCATACATTGCTTGATTTCAAATATGATATGTATGGCTACGTGCTGCTCAACTGCTGATTTCTGCTTAGAGGGATTACGCACGTTGCTGTGCACGCTGCTGCGCAGATGTGTTCCGTCCTTGACTAATTAAGTTGCCATGTGAATCCATGTGATGCAACCTGCACAGGTTAGGTTGCGCAACCTGAACACTGCACAGGTCAGGATGCCAATCTCACATTGCACATTTTTGGACACTGGCAATCTCACATTGCACATTTTTCAAAATTAGATTCTGATTAGTTCAATCAGTTTATTCCTGAAGTAGAAGCAGACTCTACCCCGTCCCAGACTCGGAAGAAAACGCTGCAGTGTGTGCTGCCGCTCAAAGAAGACAGAAAACATTTGGAAAATGCCAACAAATTTAGGCCGACTTTCAGGCCCTCTGAGACATCCCACACCAAGCCTTGCATTTGCGCAGATCTTGGGTCCGAGTGGTACGGCGGAAGCAGAGTCGGAGTGCCCAGAGTTTGAATGATGAAACTGCACTGAGTTGTGCAGTTTCTCGAAGCAAATGGGAGTTACAAAACCGTATATACCGTATCCTCTTCCAGGAAATAGCCAGGCGAAGGATGTTCCAATTGGCTTGTTTGCACATTCATTCCAAATGTCATTAAATGTCAATGCAATTTGGCCGGCGTATGTTTTTGAACTACTTTCGGGAGTGCTGACCTTAGTATTTGCTTTTCGCTCCAGTATAGAATCAAACGACCGGGATCTGCAATAAAACTGCGTGAGTAGAGAGCGAAATTCCAATTGTTTGTTTCCTACACTGGGGCGGCATGGCTTGCCTTGATTGGGGTCATATATATAGAGACACTTCTCTCTAGCCTGAACTCGCACAGGACGTTTGAAATTGTGTGACCATAGCGCATAGGACCATCGCTGGAAAGCATTTCACAGGGAGGATAAGAGCTTGTAGCAAGCCCAAGCCCCGCTAGGCTGCAGGTTATGATTTGTAATCCAATTAGCAGAATGAGTAAAAGACATTGCAACATCCTTGAAAATCTAGAGATGAGAAAAGACGTCGGGATAGAAGATGAGTGCGTGGGCATGTTTGCCGGAAATGTGTAGTAGGTGATGTATGGTGAGGTCATATGGACGATGCAACAAGCAACAAAACAATGGGCCAGATGCGATCGGATCTACTTGCAGCGATTTGGTCGGGCATTTTGCTCACCGAGAGGAGGCAATGCCATGTCCCAACAACCAGATTTCGGATTCCATTGCCCAAAAGCATGATTTCTTGATTTTTGCCCTTGGGTGTGTTCCCACAAACTTTGATCATGGGTTCGCAGTCATGATTTGAATTCCATGAGATTCTCAGCGGATCATTTGTTGATCCAACGATTGTCATTTTCCTGGCCCCGCTGCGCAGTTGCCGGCTCAACACAGCAACTCTCGAATGGTTTGGTCCATGCGTGACTCAGTTTGAAGGAACCCAAAGGGATCCAATGAGTGCCTTGGACGTTGGATGACGTTGGTACATGGCCTGTAAACATTGCCATAGATGTGGAACCCCCACCATGAAAGAAGATGGTTTTCCTTGGAAATGATGGGTTTTCCACATCTACATGATTACATGTACGTCTACCCAGGGTCAATGATCCATTAGGGCATTTGGAACATCACCTCCATAGATGGTCACTTTAGCATTTGGGCGGAACAACCTGAAGGGCTGAAGGGGTCACGATGTGGACACAAAAGTTGTGTTGGAACCAACGACCAGCTATCCAACCCACAGTTCTGAGCGGTTGCTTTGTGATGCAATTTGATATTATCATTGTTTATTCAGCCCCAATTGGAGGAATGGAGTAGCACACTTGGACAACCTATGTTTGTACAACGATGGGTTGTTCTTTCTCGTAAGTTTTCTTTGACAGTTTACACCCAATCCTTTTTGTTTTTTTGGGGGACATGCAGGCGATTGTCTTATTAGCACCTCCCCTTTTCTTGGTGATTTAATCCTCGTAACTTTGTAACTTTGTCGTTTTTTGTTTGGTTGGTGGTTTGGAACATAGTGATATTAATAGTGGTTAATAGATGTTAATAGGGTATAATACAAACAACAATGGGAATATGATGATGATCTGGTTGGTGGTGACTGGAACTTTTTTATGACTTTCCATTCAGTTGGGAATGGAATAATCATCCCAACTGACGAACTCACTCCACCATTTTTCAGAGGGGTAGGTTGAAACCACCAACCAGATTATTAACAATCATTAACCATATAATGACCATTACTATTAACCATTAATATTAATAGTATACCATCAACCAGTTCTTATCAATCTCCGGAGCTTGGTCAATTGCCCAGCCTGCCATTCCAGGTGTAGCGCCCGAAATGGACAACTTGGACACCGTCAAAGCGAATGGCGGAACTGGCATTCGTTTCCGCGATCCACAAGTGATTGGGGCCGGTGAACGGGGGAATGCCTACGATGTTTCAGGCGACATCGCGCAACTGGTGGGATCTGGTGGGCCTGAAAAGGGGTGGGTTGCTGGTGTTAGCTGGTTATGAATCAAACATGTTTGACAGTTGGGTTTTCAATGCAGCTGCATTTTTGCGGTGATGTCTAGAAAGTAATAACTGGATCAATGACTATATGACTGCATGACAGTTTAATTTTGGGATCATCATGCTTTTGAGCCTATCCCGTTTGAGGATGCTTTCACTGAGATGATACCTGTGACAAATCTTGAAGTCCAAGAGCATGGGAAGAATGCAACCCTAATTGTTTGTTAGGCTACTTGTATGTTAGGATGTCTCCCATGTTTTCCCAGTTTTTCATGGCCTAGAAATTGTGGAGTCACTTTCAACTCATTTAATCCAAGCTCTTTGTTGCGAGAAATGGCTCAGAGAGGATGGCCAGCTGGGAAACCCCCATAGGTGGGCATCTAAAAATGTGTAACTACCCTCTGGTTATTTAACATAGCCGTGGTATAGATGGCCCATAGAAATAGATGATTTTCCCAGCTAGAAACCTCCATTTATTTTGGGGATTTTCCATGGCTATGTTAGTCATAACCAGATGGTATATGGGATCTTCCTTCAAGCCATGGAGCTGGTTTTTGGTGATTTTTGTCCAAGTCCTCGTGACGTGTTGATCTGTTGAAACACTGACTGAAAGACCCGTGTTATGCCTCAAAGACCCTCCGGTAAACTAACATAGCTATTTAAAATTGCTATTTATAGTGAGTTTTCCCATTAAAAATGGTAATTTTCCATAGTTATGTTAGTTTACCAGAGGATAGATGTCGTGGTTTGGTTTTACCCACTTTGGGAAACGGAGAACGCGTGATCCAGTACTTTTTGAACTAGCAACTCCCCTGTTGGGACAGCCGCCAAAATATTTGATGGGCTTGAGGGTCTGGCTTGTCATTTCTCTCTAAGTTCGCATTAGTCCCCATATTCCTACCATTACCAGTAGTACCGCACAAGGCGGTGGCGGAAGTTTCAGAATAGGAAACCTATAGGAGACGTTGGTTGTTGTGAATCGCGGATGGCAGAGCGAATCCACTGATTGACCGAAAGGTGGTTGGAGTTGTGTTTGCTGGAATGGTTGCAATGGTTGCAGTGGTCACCTCACCCACAACTGCTGGATGTAGTGTGATGTACTGCAACTGTAGTTGTTGTAGTTGTAGTTGTAGTTGTTGTAGTTGTTGTTGTTATTGTTGTTGTAGTTGTAGCTGTAGTTGTTGTGAGGTTGTAGTCGTTGTGTAGTGTAGTAGTAGTAGTAGCAGTAGTAGTAGTAGCAGTAGTAGTAGTAGTAGTAGTATCAGTAGTAGTAGTAGTAGTAGTAGTAGTAGTAGTTGTTGTTGTTGTAGCTGTAGTTGTTGTAGTTGTAGTTCTAGTTGTAGTTGTAGTTGTTGTGTAGTTGTAGTTGTAGTTGTAGTTGTAGTAGTAGTAGTAGTTGTTGTTGTTGTTGTAGCTGTAGTTGTTGTAGTTGTAGTTCTAGTTGTAGTTGTAGTTGTAGTTGTAGTTGTAGTAGTAGTAGTAGTAGTAGTTGTTGTTGTTGTTGTTGTTGTTGTCGTTGTCGTTGTCGTTGTCGTTGTTGTTGTTGTTGTTGTTGTTGCTGTTGCTGTTGCTGTTGTCGTCGAAGTTAGGGTAGTTAAGTTAGTCAAGTTAGTTAAGTTAAGCAGTGTCTACTTTTTCGACATCTTCACGTCAAAAAAGGCTCAAAACCCTCAGTTTTTTACACTTTTGACTTCGAAATGTGCTTCGTGCCACAACGGCGTGCACTTTTTCGACGCTTTTTCGACATCTGAACCTCCAAAAGTGGTCCGAGACCGTCAGTTTTTAACACTTTTGACTTGGAAATGTTCTTCGCGCCACAACGGCGTGCACTTTTTCGACATCTCAACTTCCAAAAGTGGTCCGAACCTGGTGTGTTTTGTACATTTCGACTTGGAAATGTGCTTCGCGCCACAACGGCGTGCACTTTTTCATGTCTCATCTGGCCAGCTGGCTCCGCACCCGCCGCTTTAGCGAGCCTACTTTTCGACCCTCCGGAGCCACAAATCATTGGAAAAACACAGTGAATCGCGACTTTCCTACCTTTTCGCGCATCTGCATCTTCTTTCTTCTGATCTTTTCTCTTCTGACTCTTTTCACCTCTGCTTTTCAACTGTCCATATTGTCGGAAGTTTCACTTCTAAACTTCCTTCGATCATAGGTTCTGTATTGGCAGGAATATGGGGACTAATGGGAACTTGGAGAGAAGTCATAGAAAACCGACTAGCTGTAGTAGGTTCCCATTACAGAATCATAGAAAACCTACTAACTGACACCCTTGTAAACTTTCAGTCAGGATATCCGCCAACTTTACATGATGTTCTCTATTCTATCACGGAAGATTATATGTGACCAATCATCTATATAATCTTGAATACTCCTGGCTGTTCTGCGGGTATATGGAAAGCTAATTGGCCTCTCAGGTATCAAATTTAAACCCCATTCACGGTGTTTGTTCCCACAGTTCTCTATTACGTCATCCCGAGTGGGTGATTCATCAATGGTTCGCTTGCATAGTGAGTATGGGTCATAACTTCACAAGCCTGGAATTGGCACTAACACTCACTAACACAATAGATGTTGAAGAAGCTCATCCTCCGATTCATATCATATGGAAATCAGTGCACATCATAGGTTCTGATCCCATATTATATTATATCATATTATATCATATTATATTATATTATATATTTATTATATTTTATAATATATTATATTGTATTATATTTTATATTATATTATATATTTATATATTTTATATATTTTATCCTTTATTATATTGTATTATATTATATTATATATTATATTTTATTATATTATATACTATATTATATTGTATTGTATTGTATTATATTGTATTGTATTATATTATATTATATTGTATTATAATGTAAATATATTATATGATATTATATTATATGATATTATATTATATATTTTATTTATATATTTTAGATTATATATTTTATATTATATATTATTTATTTTATGTTATATACTACGTATCATATATATTCTATATATATATATCATATATTTTATATTATATATTATTTATTCTATGTTATATATTGTTTTAATTATATATATATTAGATATTTTATTTTAAATATTATATATGTTAGATATTTTATTTTAAATATTATATATGTTAGATATTTATATTAAATATTATATATATTATTTATTTTATATATTATTAATCATATATTATTTTTTAAATATTAAATATTAAATATTATATTTTATATATTACATATTATATATTACATATTATATATGTCATATTATATATTATATTATATTATTATATGATATTATATTATATATTATATATTATATATTCTATTGTATTATATTAAATTTTAATTATATGTGTTTTTCAATATTTTATATATTGTATGTTTTTTAATTATTTATTTTATATTATATATTATAGTATATATTTTATTATTTTTATAATCTATTAGCTTTTGTATAATATATGTTATTTTGTATATTATATTAAATTATATATTATATTATATTATTTATTATATATTATATTATATATACTATATTATATTATATTATATATATATTTCTTATTTATTATATGTTATATTATATATTATATATTATATTACATTTTTTATATTTTTATTATATATTATATATATTTTATCATATTGTATTATATTATATATATATTATATTATATATATATATTATATTATATATATATTATATTATATATATATTATATTATATATATATTATATTATATATATATATTATTTTATATGTTTTTGTTTATTTAGTTATTTTATATTATGTATTATAGTATATATTATTTTATTTTGCTTATCTATTTTATTTGTATATGTTATATTTTATATTTTATTTTGTATTTTATATTCTATATTATATTTTATATATTATATATTATATATAGATATCATATGTAGATATATATATATATTGCTATGTCTGATGGCAAAAAATTCCAACTGTTGCTACCAGGCAGTCCAAGTCCCTCCAAAGATCACCATCCACGGGGAGCCTTGCACCGATGCTCGCTAAGAACGGAAAGCAAAGAAGGCAACTATGTTAATAATAATAATAGTAGGTAATTAATAATCACTAATTCACTATATTCACTACATTAATTATAGTTATGATTTGAACTTAATAATATATATTCATTATAACTAACCAACAATCATAATAGTGATAGTATAATTAGTTATGTAAATATATATATATATATATTAAATTATCCCATAATCTGGGTAAATTATAACGACCTCACGTCGCGACCTCAATGGAATCCTGGTTAATAAGGGGAATCATCCCCAGATTAATGGGTCATGGGGTATACCCCCCAACTACTCATTTTACTCGGGAAACTGTTCAAATGCTGAGAACATTGGATTTTGGGGGGAGCCTATGTTCAGAGAAAGCACAGATTGATACAGAATGGTTTTGGTAGTGGAAATCATTGATGAGGGGTGGTTGAATGGTGTGTCATTGATAGTGAAAAGCAGCGAATCTGGTGAAGGGTGGTTGAATGAACTAATAGACGTGTGATGATTCTGCGAAAGGAACCCACCAAAAATAAACTACAATGGAAGCTTTGAGACAGATTATAGTCGTTGTATTTAAAACCCAACAATAGACCCCGGATTTTGTAGTGTTTATACCACCTAGTTCTGGTCAAATTGGGCGTTTACCACATTAATATACAGATTCCAGTCTTGATGATTCAGCACATGTGAAAGTTGCGACAGAAGCAATCTGACTTTGGCCGAAGCGTTTTGAATGGCCTAAGGAAAGCTGTTGGAGCGAAAAGTCACGTGGATTCTTGCAACGGCATTGACCGTCCCGCGGCGAGAACAACTCATGGCATATTTTGCAGGTATGAATCCTCCAGGGATTTTCTCAAACCAACGAGTTGAGTTGCTAATGAGCGTAGCCAATCTATAACTGGGGTGTATCCATGCTTATCTCATTTCCATCTATATTCTGTACATATGTATATATATGTATATATATATTTATATATATAATATGAATAGCTAATTGTTAATAGCCAATCTATATCAGATATATGGCAGTGCATCTTTGGTTCTTCTGCGAGGTCCTCTTGTGCGTTGCCATCGCTCAGCCTGCAGCCTGTCATCATGTGGACCGCTGCAGGCAAGAACACGCCCGTATTCAGGCGCAAGATTTGTCGAAAGGTCGCGAGTCGTGGTACCCTCTGGTAAACAAACATAACGATGGAAAATCACCATTTTTGTTATGGGTAAATCAACTACAGATGGCCATGTTCAATAGCTATGTTAGTTTACCAGAGGGTAAACCCAAGAATCATTGGGATCTAAGACACCTAAGAAATTAGGGATACTTAGTGGGGATTGAACTTCGACAATACATGGTGATGATTTGGAACACATAATAATAGCAATAATATGATAATTAGCAAACTTATTTTGGGGTATGATGTTTTATACGACACACACACATGGTAAAATGTTATAAATGGGGAATGGTTTCTTGTATGTTGAATAAGTTAGGTGTCAAGAGTTGGAAGCGGCCCTGAACTTTCTAAAACTGGAGAACCGATTGATTATATTGATTTCAGACCATGTGATTTGATCCATGACGGAATCCATTTTTGGTGGTTACAGATGTTTCTTGTTGTTCCGAAGCATCATCCAGCTCTAAAAATTGCCTTTGGCGTTGCTACACACATCCAACATCCCACTCCAGTTTTGACCTGTATGGAGGTTTCCTAAGTCTACCGGGCTACCCCCATTTTTCTCATCCTTCAGTTCGATGCAGGATTTTCCATAAACCATCCAGCTATGGGGGGTACCCCATGACGGCCTGGCTACATATATGAAACCTCCATGGGATCTTCGTATCCGAAAGATTGACACCCAAAGATGGTTTTTTTTGTGCATTGCTTTTAGAAAGACATATTCTTTACCTAACCCCCATTGTATTCACATGATTATTTGGCCAGAATGCAAGAATGATATAGAATGATCACATGCTTTTAAATGTGCATTGGTACCTCATTTTGTTAATTCATGCCTCAAAGTCACCTGGTCAAGATAGCCTCTGGAAAAATCCACTCTTTCAACATGTTTCCATGATTTTCCATCCATAAACCAGCAATGTCTGTCCATATAGTCCATAAAATTTCCTTACTGCATTCCATATACCCTCTGGTAAACAACCATAGCTATTTAAAATGGCCCATAGAAATCGTTGACTTACCCATTAATAGCATGGTGGATCTTTCCAGTTCGTTATTTTTTAACTTTTACCAGGCCGGGTAACTTAAGTAGCCTCGGGTTTTTGCTCCCAGGACTTGAGGTCTTACAGCGGTTACATCACCGCAGCCTTGGCCTCTGTGATGTTGCATGAACTGGCCTCGGTGATCTTGACCCATCGCACCGCCAGGACAGCAGTGGTGTTCACCAGCCCCATTTTGTGGTGGTTGTGCACCATGAAAAAAAGTGAGGTTTTACACGGTGTTCACATGGTTTAACATGGCTCAACATGGTTTAACTGTTAGGATACCATGACAAACTATATTTAAATTGAGATAGTCAGATAGTCATTTCTTTTGGGATTTAACCAGACAACGGTAATTTATTGGTTACAATGGGATCTATTTTTTTTCCCCCCGTGTGTCATCAACTCTTTGGCACCGTATGACAACCAAATGATGTGGTTGGATCCCCGTGCTGGTTACATTCCCATATCCAAATTCTGGTTGTTTAGATGTTAACTATATCAATCCACATTATCCCTATTATATCCATAAATATGTGGGGATGCATCAAAAGCTATGAATGTTTGAAATGCCGGATATTTATTAGGGTTGAACAGTTGAACATTCATTGCCATTTTTGGTGTGAAGAGAAGCGTGCCAGGGTTTTGATATGTAACCATATGATGGTTATTCACACGTATGATCAGATATGTTGTATATATATATAATATTATTTAGGAAATAGTTTCTGTCAATTTGGTTTATTTAAGAAATAGCTTCTGGCTTCCACAGGCAAAGAGGCCAAGGCATTCCCCCCACAAAAATATATATATATATATATGGATGGAGTTGTACATGGTTGTACTATGTTGTACTTTCATTTCGTCATATCATGGGCAATCTGTGACCGTGGATGATCCGAAGAGCTCTCAGCTGTCAGAGCTCTCAGATGATGGCTTCGCCGAGGGTTTCCTTCACTGACTGGGGAAACATCATTATTGGGTACCCTCTGGTAAACATACAAAAAAACTGTGGAAAATCATGGAACAAATCGTGAATTTTCCCATGAATAGCATGGTGATCTTTCCATAGTTTTTTTGTATGTTTACCAGAGGGTATGTGTTTTCCAAAAACTACCCTCCCATCTGCAAAAATGCCAGATAATCATGGGATACCCCCCAAAAAAAGCTGATGATGTTTTTCATCTCGAATCATCTTGAATCTTTCATAATCTCTCTTAACCTCTCATAATCTATTACAATCTAATCTATCATAATCATCTCTCAAGATGATTTCACCGTATTGCAAGGGTTTCCTATCTGTATTTCACTGTATTTCACCACTGCTTCCAGCCTTGGACCAATGGCTAGAGCCCCTTCGACACCGCCTTCAGGAAGGCGATCCATCTGATCCCCAACATCCGCGAGTCTTTGCTTCCGTCGGTGCTGCTGTGCATCACCTTTTTTGTGCTGATTTTAGACACTTGGAAGGATAGGAATGATAGGTGATGCACTGTTCATCATTTTAGACACTTGGGAATCACAAAACGGATTGATAGGAATGATAGGTGATGCACTGTTCATCATTTTAGACACTTGGGAATCACAAAAAGGATGGATAGGAATGATAGGTGATGCATTGTTCATCATTTTAGACACTTGGGAATCACAAAAAGGATTGATAGGAATGATAGGTGATGCATTGTTCATCATTTTAGACACTTGGGAATCACAAAAAGGATTGATAGGAATGATAGGTGATGCACTGTTCATCATTTTAGACACTTGGGAATCACAAAAAGGATTGATAGGAATGATAGGTGATGCACTGTTCATCATTTTAGACACTTGGGAATCACAAACAGGATTGATAGGAATGATTGATAGGTGATGCACTGTTCATCATTTTAGACACTTGGGAATCACAAAAAGGATTGATAGGAATGATAGGTGATGCACTGTTCATCATTTTAGACACTTGGGAATCACAAAAAGGATTGATAGATAGGAATGATAGGTGATGCACTGTTCATCATTTTAGACACTTGGGAATCACAAAACGGATTGATAGGAATGATAGGTGATGCACTGTTCATCATTTTAGACACTTGGGAATCACAAAAAGGATGGATAGGAATGATAGGTGATGCATTGTTCATCATTTTAGACACTTGGGAATCACAAAAAGGATTGATAGGAATGATAGGTGATGCATTGTTCATCATTTTAGACACTTGGGAATCACAAAAAGGATTGATAGGAATGATAGGTGATGCACTGTTCATCATTTTAGACACTTGGGAATCACAAAAAGGATTGATAGGAATGATAGGTGATGCACTGTTCATCATTTTAGACACTTGGGAATCACAAACAGGATTGATAGGAATGATTGATAGGTGATGCACTGTTCATCATTTTAGACACTTGGGAATCACAAAAAGGATTGATAGGAATGATAGGTGATGCACTGTTCATCATTTTAGACACTTGGGAATCACAAAAAGGATTGATAGGAATGATTGATAGGTGATGCACTGTTCATCATTTTAGACACTTGGGAATCACAAAAAGGATTGATAGGAATGATTGAACATGATTGAAAAGTATAAGTATCGACATCATTTGACCCAACATGTTTGGGATGGTGAAATAGGAACAACCAACTCTGTGTGCGTTTATGGGTAGCAACTTTACCTCATATCCCCACTGACCTTATGTTGCCAGGTATGAAAGGGTTTAACGTTTGTTTTACAGAGAACACTTTGTGCCCCACAAGAACAAGAGGCAGAAACTCGGGGCTGAACGAATCCCACAATGTGGGATGATCGTCAATGTGTTGAATGACCAAATCATACTAAGACCACAAAATGAAGATATTTTCACTTTAGGCACTTAATGAAGATATTAGTAGTTATATGAACTTATCATAGAAGTGTTTTTTCTTTATTTTTACTTATTTTCACTTATTTTTCAATGTTTTTTTGATGATCAGAATTGATTATAGACGATGCATTTTTCTGTTATATATTTTTTGAAGATAGTTGTCGACCTTTTTGTTTCCTTTGGAATATTTTTTTCTTGCCTTTTTTCATTGTTTTTTTCATTCTTTTCAGGCATCATCCTTTTAGAAATCACCCTTTTCAGGATTTATCCTTTTCAGGAATTATCCTTTTCAGGACTTATCCTTTCAGGAATTTTTTATTCAGAATGAATCCTTTTCAGGAACTATCCTTAACAGGAATCTTTCTATTCAGATTGATTTCATTTTCAGGAACAATGCTTTTCAGGAGTTATCTTCTACAGGAAATGGTTCTTCTACAGGAATATGCGCGGCTGCGAGTGACACAAAGAATCTTGAAGTACATCTGTGGAGAAATCATTCAGAGGCAAAAGGAAAAAAACATATAAAGGATGTTCTTGGAAAGAACAATTGCTCTTTTGATGTGTCTTCTTCAATTGTATACGACTGCCCAGAATGAGATCTTTCACAACATGAGGCTTCGGTTACTACTTCCAAACTACATAATTCAGGGATGAAGATGGATACCTAATTTGGAAAATATTCTATTATATTTTTTGTTGGTAAAAGATTTAAAGCTAGCTGGCTTGCTTTTTGTTTTGAAAATGTATTTTCTATAATTGCTATTTATGTTTTATTGTTCATATTGTTCTACAATTTACTTTCTTTTGATTTCGCATACTTTGTTCATACGTTTTTTTTGCTGAGATTTTGGTGGTTGATTAATCGCAGGGAATTATTAATCCTAACTTGACATTATTATAAATACTTACTTATCCTTTTTTTTCTCTATAAATATTTCCTGAATTTTCTGAAATTTCTGAATTTTCTGAAATTTCTGGATTTTCTGAATTTTCTGAATTTTCTGAATTTTCTGAATTTTCTGAAATTTCTGAAATTTCTGAAATTTCTGAATTTTCTGAATTTTCTGAATTTTCTGAATTTTCTGAATTTTCTGAATTTTCTGAAATTTCTGAAATTTCTGAATTTTCTGAATTTTCTGAATTTTCTGAATTTCCTGAATTTTCTGAATTTTCTGAATTTTCTGAAATTTCTGAATTTTCTGAATTTTCTGAATTTTCTGAATTTTCTGAATTTTCTGAATTTCCTGAATTTTCTGAATTTTCTGAATTTTCTGAATTTTCTGGGTTTCTGAATTTTCTGAATTGTTTTCCTTTTAATTTAAATTGTAAATTCTGAATTTTCTGAATTTTCTGAATTTTCTGGGTTTCTGAATTTTCTGAATTTTCTGACTTTTCTGAATTTTCTGAATTTTCTGGGTTTCTGAATTTTGTGAATTTTCTGAGTTTTCTGAATTTTCTGAAATTTTTGAATTTTCTGAATTTCTGAATTTTCTGAAATTTCTGAATTTTCTGAATTTTCTGAATTTTCGGAAATGTCTGAAATTTCTGAGTTTTCTGAATTTTCTGATTTTTTCTGAATTTTCTGAATTTTCTGAATTTTCTAAATTTTCCTTTCCAGGAAGTACCCTGCAGAGAACTATTCCCTACAATTTTTTTCCTTTCCAGGAAGTATCCTGCAGAGAACTATTCCCTACAAAATTTTTCCTTTCCAGGAAGTATCCTGCAGAGAACTATTCCCTACATTTTTTTTCCTTTCCAGGAAGTATCCTGCAGAGAACTATTCCCTACACAATTTTTCCTTTCCAGGAAGTATCCTGCAGAGAACTATTCCCTACATTTTTTTTCCTTTCCAGGAAGTATCCTGCAGAGAACTATTCCCTACAATTTTTTTCCTTTCCAGGAAGTATCCTGCAGAGAACTATTCCCTACAATTTTTTTCCTTTCCAGGAAGTATCCTGCAGAGAACTATTCCCTACAATTTTTTTCCTTTCCAGGAAGTATCCTGCAGAGAACTATTCCCTACAATTTTTTTCCTTTCCAGGAAGTATCCTGCAGAGAACTATTCCCTACATTTTTTTTCCTTTCCAGGAAGTATCCTGCAGAGAACTATTCCCTACAATTTTTTTCCTTTCCAGGAAGTATCCTGCAGAGAACTATTCCCTACACATTTTTTCCTTTCCAGGAAGTATCCTGCAGAGAACTATTCCCTACAAATTTTTTCCTTTCCAGGAAGTATCCTGCAGAGAACTATTCCCTACAAATTTTTTCCTTTCCAGGAAGTATCCTGCAGAGAACTATTCCCCACACAATTTTTCCTTTTCAGGAAGTATCCTGCAGAGAAATTGTCCCTACATTTTTTTTCCTACCATTTTTTTTTCCAAATAGGCGCCTTCAGAGAATTGTTCTTTAGCAGCATATTCCTGTTCAGGAAGTTTTCGTCAGAAAAGTAGTGCTCTGAGACAATATTGTTTCGTCGAAAATCAACATTCCTGCGAATCTATCAAACACACATAAAAATCAAATTTCACTTCTTATCACTTCTTTTCGCTTATTTTGGCTTATTTTTGACTAATATTCTACTATATTTGCTTATATTTTCCTTATTATGTTATAAGTTCACCTAAAAATTTAGTGGAACTTATAACAAAATATTTTTGAAAAACAATTTGAACAAGATATTAGAAGGATAATAGTAACTTATAGTATACTTATAAATTCATTAAGTGCCTAAAGTGCAAATATTTGCATTTTGTGGTCTCAGTATATACTGTTACTGATTTAAAATGATTTAATGCTGATTTTATTTGGCCATTGTGTTATGACAATGTGTTACGGCTGCAAATGATATTGGTCAGTGAGATAGCATGTTTTTTGCCTGTGAAATGCGATTTAATAGCTGATGAATCACTGATGAATGATAGCGAAGAGCAGTCGACTTCCCCAGGAAAACTTAGCCCTCGTGATTGGAGAGACACCATGGTTTGCACATGCCGCCAATTTGGGACATCCTGAGCTGGACGGGCAGCCGGTGTACACGGTCTTCTATGCTGAGTGGCTGATCAATGTCACTGGGTGGGAGATATGGTAGGATTCATCCAGAATCGGCCAGGTTTTGAATGTGTAAACATGTGGCTATGGATCAATACCTATACATACCATTTTTAGGGGGATGAACATCCATTTACCAGCTATTTTGATGTGTTAGGGTTTTGACCCATCCCCATGTGTAAACTCACGGAGTTTGGGGGATCCCCGGCTGAAAATTCTGGGGGCTTCCAATGGCCAATTGGGGCTATGGAGATCACTGGCCCAACTCGAAGAGTTTGCCATCCTTGGCCCATGGACGTCTCCAAAATTTATGACTGGGATCCACAGCTGGATGGTGGCTCCAAGCAGGGGAAACTTCAACCTTTGGGTCATTTTCTGAGCCGTTTTTGGACCAAAAAAAGTCTGGGTCCAGATCCCCGACGAATTTTTGCCATCACTTTGTGCTGAGCCCTAGATGATGCATCTGAGTTGGTTGCAGCAGACTGGTTTCAACCCTTTGGTGGACATATTATTCAAAGTCCTGTGGTTGTTCTGGTTGTTCCATTTCCCATGGCCAGATTAGAGTTGGCTGGGGGGATAGTGTCAACCCCTGGTTTATGAACCATTTCCCCTTTTTATAGGAGTTTCTAAACTTTATGGGGGGTGGCATATTTTTCAATTGGAGTTATCACTATGTTGGTGACTCCCTCAACGAACTCCGGTTTTTTTCTATTGTTTTTTTCCAGGTCCCTATCTTGCTGATCTTGGCTGGAAGCATAGCCCTACAACGACCAACCCCCGAAGTTGCAGAGCCTTTGGTGGTCACCAACGTTTACATTGTCTTCGATGCTCGGAAATAATGTACCAATTATGTGGGCTAGGGGGTTTTTAATGTTTGAGTGATGTACATATGATGTTCACTATCCGAAAAACACGCATTTTTGGACAGCCACGATGAGCAAGCTGAAGGTTTCCGTTTCCTCACCCACATCCCGTGGGAGAGATTTTTTGCATGAATTTGCTATAATACATGGTGATTTCAAATCTCCTAATATGGGTGTACCCCAAAATGGATGGTTTCTAATGGAAAATCCTATTAAAATAAATGATTTGGGGGTACCCCTATTTTAGGAAATAAATGCTCTAAAAGTGAAGGGAGATGTTACTGATTCTCACTGACTCAAACGGTAATTTGGATGTAGTGGACATGACACTGTGCTTAGCGCGCTGTTTCATTTGTAGCGTTCAACTTTCCAGGTTCGTTGTCTCAAGCAGTTGTTCCTTTTTCATGCCTAGGATGATTCAGTCTACATGTGGAGGGTGGCTCATCAGCTGACACCAGAACGTATCAAAAACAAGCTACTATACCAATCAGAACACAACAGAAAACACGGGCGTGGGTTTTTCATCATTGGGGTTGTGGATTTGGAATCTGGAATGAGCACAATGCCTTGCATGTTACAGTGATTTATGCTTCTTTAACAATAATTCTTCTTGATATTGCCACGATCAGGTCAACATTCGAAAAACATGCAACGTTTCAACATCTGCCTTCAAAGCTCTCATATTTTCTTCGGCCCTGCTTTGTGTTTCTTCAGCCGCTGTTCTTCGTTTTGAAGAGTTGGCCCAACTTCTGCAACAACGGCAACAAGTTACATGGACCCTTGTGGCCAACAGTCTTAAAGCCGTCAGGAACGTTATTAACAGACCGATAACACCCCCAGCCCCCCCACCCCACCCCACCCCACCCCACCCACCCAACCCCTCCGCACCCAACCCCTCCCCACCCAGCCCCCCTGTTGAGCAGAAGCGACAATGCAACATGTCAACATCGACAACAAGTTACATAGACCCTTTTGGCCAGCAGTCTTAAAGTCGTCAGGACGTTACTACACCTCCCCCCACCCACCCTCTTGAGCAGAAGCGAGGATGTGCAACACACACGGCAACAGGTGAAATGCTCAAAAAGGAGCACGCAGTTGGCCCCGAAAACAACATGATGGACTATGAATGATTATGATAATCCCGAATATTAGGAAGTATTTCATCCCCGAACTAACCTTCAACTACCGGGGTCTAGCAATCGCAGCCACGTGTTGTCAATTTACTCTTTTTCAAGCCTTTGAGGCGTGGGTGGCGCACTTTGTCAGTAATCCAGGGATCCGATATTTCCTGGTAGCTTTGTCCTTTCTCATGTATTTTCGCGCTTCCTGGAGCATGTGCCGCTGGGTCTGGAACTGGCACTTGGAGAATTCTGATGATCACCACATTCTTGGCAGGCGGCTGTGTTGCAATTTCTGGCGCTCCGCCAAAACATGAAATTATCATGTCATTTAATAGTGAAATTGACATGGGATTTCACCAACCATCATGATATACCTAATCTGTCTATCCAGTGCTTAGAACGCTTAGAACGGTTAGAACGGTTTCCGAGCGCCTTCGGAGCTCTGGGTGTCCATAGTGCAGACCATGCAGATGGTGCAGGCCTCTTCTGACCTTTGTTTTGATTCTTGTCTTTGGCATCTATGGAGCTGTATCTCAGCTTTGACGGCAGGGTTGTGGATGGTTCGTCAACGGTTGGTGGTGACTGGAACCATGGAATTTTATGTCTTTCCATATATATTCGGAATAATTAATCATCCCATTATTTGACTTTCATATTTTTTCAGAGGGGTAGGGCTCAACCACCAACCAGATGGTTATGGATAGGATCATATGCTGGGTTGGGCAGCTGCAATCCTTCGATCAATCCGGCACCGGTGATTCAGTGATAGCAATCGTGATTCCTCAGAGCCTATTCCGCTGGTCATAGATGTGTTAGTTACTGCTAGTTTAAACATAGTTTCTGCTAGCCTATAGGATTTGATGTGGTTAAATCATCAGTGATGAGTTTCTAGAACTGTTTTCCAGCCCTCAGGATTCCCAGAGCCTCAATTGGTCCTGAATTGTTTGTAGGGCAGAAATAGCTCACCCTTGTGCCCAAGGCACAGTCATGTTGACCTACATAACTACTCCATAGATCCATTTTCCATGAACAATCTGTGGATTTATTGCCAGTTCAATATGGAGGTTTCCTAAAATAGGGGATGCCCCAGTTATCATCCCATGTTATTTTCGGATGTTCCACTATAAGCATTTTGGGAAACCAGAGCTCGTCAAATCTGCCTTGGATCTTGGTGGACTCTCTGTTGATGAAATCCGATGCTGTTTCTGAACAAACCGGTACCCTCTGGTAAACATACAAAAAGCTATTGAAAATGGTGATTTATAGTTGATTTACCCATTGAAACTGGTGATTTTCCATAGTTATGTTAGTTTATCAAAGGGTAATTTTCTGGTGTGAAAAAATCTCAACGCATCATTTTGAGCTGGTTAAACCATGTTAAACCAATGTTTGAACCATGCTAAACCCATGTTAAACCATGTTAAACCGATGCTGAACCATCTTAAACCCCAGTGAGTCGATCCTTTTGTTTCTGGCATTTCCATGTCACTCCAGGTTTACGTCTCCCGGCTGCATGGTGGCGTCAGCTATCGCGACGATCGCATCTTCTTCACGACCATGAACTTCACCACGAAGCTCTTTGCGTCGCCGGGTAAATGACTTGGGACAGGGTTGGATGGGGATTTGAAAATGATATTCTGCATCCCGAAGCTGCCATAGATCCCAGGGGAGGGATCATGAAAAACATGATATTATATTATATATATATTATGTATATTATGTATAATATATGTATATATATATAATATTTATATTATCATCTATGTATTATATACATAGCTATACAGAAGTGTCAATAGGTAGGCCTCAGAAAGTAATGTTATAACTATAGGTTGGGGTGTCAACATGCGGGGATTGATCAACAAAAGGAGATAGGTTATCACTTCTAATTACTGATATAGAATTGGTATATCCATTTTCAATGGTAAGAAAAACTAATATACTATGGAAAACTATGGAAAATCACCATGTTCAATGGGTAAATCAACTATAAATCACCATAGTTTTATATATTCAGTTTTACTAATATATAAAACTATGGAAAATCACCATTTTCAATGGTAAATCCATGTAAAGCCACTATTTCTATGGTCATTTTCAATATGATTAATGGATATTACTGGGCGGGTGGTTTCCAAGATTGGTTGGCATTGAATGTCAAGATTCAGCAGCAAAACATTGGCATTTCAAAAATCACAACAGGATATCGAATGGATTTATTGTTCCGTGAGTGGATTAGTTATTTTGAAGATGGTATGTTTTTCATGTTTTCATGTGTTATTCCATTTCAACAAAGAGGATGATTCCAAGCCGATAAAAATGGTGCTTCGGAACCTCGGAACCTGTCGAAAAAAAATGAAAAGTTCCGAGGTCGATGACTTTGGCCGGCATCCGCTCCAGTGAATTTCAAGAAGTCCTCCTATCAATGCTGGCAAACACACAAACCTCGTTCAAGCGTTCCCTGAAGTATGAGGACACAACACCCATGCTGGAAGATTGATTGCCATTTGATTATTTTACTATTTAAGACCTGGCCGTTTCGCTTTTTCGGCTGCCATAGATTTTTGAAGGCTAAATTTGGAGCCTGGAAGCTGCTGCTCCGGGCTTGGAATATCTACGGCAAGCCCCGAGTGGGGGTTTCAACATGCTCGGGGCCGTGCCAGATGGAACTTTGACATACCTTGCTTGGTCACTTTTTGAATTTGTTGACCATGTGAATTACCATCTGGTTATGACTAACAGTTCGCCATGGAAGCCATCACCATGCGATTAATAGGTAAACCATCTATTTCTATGGGCCATCTATACCATGGCTATGTTAAATAACCAGAGGGTAAGATCAATCACAACTGCTTGGACTTTGAATCTGGGAATCACTGCTGGGTCGAATGTCCTGAGATTCCCCTAAATGATTTCGACAGTCGTTCAGGCTGTCAAACGCATTGCCGGTGGAAATTCGTTGGTGAAATGAAGAACTATAATCCCATCTCCCTAGTACTAAACGCTCCCTAAATGGTCACTAAACTCCCTAAAAACACAAGCTAAATCATGGTTTATGCTTGGTGTTTAATATGAAAGGATGGAGAAAAACCATGTTTTTTGGCCAGGATTGCGGCGTCGGACCAGTTGGCCCGCGTGCCCTGGCCAGGATGATTGGGTCTTTCAGGCATTTTCGCTCACATTTTCGCGCGGTCCTTGAAGATCCCTGGCCCGAACAACAGCGCTGGCAGCCGCTGCAGCCATTCCAAGAATCGCTTGGAAGATGGGAAATCACTAAATCCACATGAAAAAAATTGCCGAAGCAAAAAGCGTGTCCTGCAAATGAAGTAAGTTTTTGAAAGATTTGATGAGATGTGTTTGTTCCATGTTTGTTCCATGCTTTTGCTGCATAGCCCTGTAATTGGGTATCGGCTGCTTCTATTGTGCATCAGCTGCGTAGCTGCAGGGTCCGAAGAGTCGGGAATTTCCAAAGATCAACATCTTCAGATCTATAGAATCACTGATTTCAATATAATATATATATATATATGTATAGTTATATGCAGTTATTTTACCTGGATTGTCAACCCCCCAAAAAAAAAGAAATGTGCAAAGTAGGCTTTTCAAACTGGACATGCCCGGTTCATTTGAGTTCTAGCTAGCCTACTGCTAGCCAGCGTAGCTAGCGGGAGCGGCCCGGTTCATTTGAGTTCTAGCTAGCCTACTGCTAGCCAGCGTAGCTAGCGGGAGCGGCCCGGTTCATTTGAGTTCTAGCTAGCCTACTGCTAGCCAGCGTAGCCCGTTCAAAAGCTGGCGGGATCGATCACCCATCATGCTGCTACCTCCAAGATGGAGGAAAATATCTTCCGCAAAGTCACCCTTCACGGTGAAGAAGTAGCATTGGCATCTATTTCTATAGAAAACAGCTGAAAATTTGAAATGTGCTAATGCATGCACTATCTATATGTATAATCCCGTCTCCCTAGACATGGAGATCAACCGAAACCAGTGCGAAATGACTACGTCAAAAATGGGGTGACACATGGGGTGAATATGGGGACATCTCTCTTGGATGATGAGAAGAATCCTGTGTCTTAGCTTGAACAACAGGTTTTCGAGGAACTCCGAATACACATCAGTTGGGGGATTGACATCTAGTCTAGTGCTTCATGAGAATACTCAAGGCAAAACGACTAGGAGTAACACTAATACAAACATAATGTCGACAGGCAAACATAGATTTAAAGGACATGATCATGTATCTCACAAGCTTCATCAACACATTCGGTGCATGCTGCGGCTTGACGCTGAAGGTGCTTGGATACTATTGTTCGTGTGCTATTGCGTGCTATTGGTATCAAATGTCACATGACCACGACGGGTGGCTATGCGTGCGGAACGGCAGCAGCCACTCTTGTTGTGAAAGAATTTGCGAGTTGAAAAATGGCCTTGCATCATACGATGCCTGTAGAGGGTCACACTGTGGCGTAAGGGGGAATCATCCCCAAATGGCTTGATTGATTTCCGCTATTTTCGGGTTAGTGTGAATTACTATGATTCAGCAATCAGGAGTTGGATGAGTTCTTGCAGCCTTCCCAAAGCCAATTGGATGATATTGGATGTCTCAAGCACTTCGACTCATCCAATTTTAACAACAGTGCTATCCACTTACCCATAGGTGATATTGGGTTTCCCAGTCTGTCTTCAGCGTTACATCCAAAGGCATTTTTGATATCAAGCGAAGGGAAAAGACCCTGGAGATTTCAAGGGTTATGAGCCCAACGGTCTGACACGTTTTTCTTCGGTTTGGTGTAGCAATGGAAAGGGCACACTCTGCGCCCCCCGAAGGGTCCGAGAATGCAATCAATCCTTTCTACTCCAGTAAACTTCAGAATGAGATGAAACTGGTTAGGGCTAGGCCTCATACCTTGCCTCAAGTTGTTTCCCCGGTGGAGCCTCCTTGCCGATCAGAAGCGAGGGAGCAATTGGCAAAGGACGTGGGTCTTCTGCCACGGGCACAGCTGTCAAAGGTGGAGCTGGAGCGTTTGTGACACCACCAAGCAGAAAGACGCCGCATGGTTTTGCGATGAATCTGGAACTTGGAAAGCAGCATGAGCGCTCTGGGGTGCAAACAGAAGGGCCTATGCCAACCGCGAAACTGGGTAGAAGTGATGATCATCAACAGGGGCATGTTCATGGAGTAGGTGAGCACATAGATCTTCAAGAGCAGCGATCCACAGAAGATTTGCAGCGGTCATTGGAGAGGGAAATTGTTGATCACCTACGGGACCAAAATGCCAAGTTGATGTTGGAGCTAGAAGAGTTGAGAAAATGGAAACAGGGGGCTAGCCAGTCGTCTGGATCTTCCTGGTCTGAAGTTGGGACTGGTGGCATGCATGTGGGAAAGGGTTCAACGAAGATGGATGATGGTAGGATGGGCTATCATACTCCGAGGAGTTCGAACTGTAAAGCTGGTACTGGTAAACAGGATACCCGGTATACTCCGAATGGAACACGGGTGCCAGAGGGAACTCCTCCGGATTCAGCTGAGCCTTGTCCACCACCACAACATGAACCTCCAGTAGTACCACCATTTCCTTCTTCGTTTTTGCAGCCTCAATCATCTTCTACACATGCGGATGACATGAAGAAGTTTTTGGATGGCTATGAGAGAATTGATGTGAAGCCAACAGTTTTGAAAAGGGATGTGTCATGGGAACCTCAGAAGGAGTTGAATCCAACTGAAGCTAGGGCATTCTGGTTGGAAAAAGAAGTCCAAGCCCTTCGAACTACGTTGGCATCAGTTTCTCATGGGAATGCGTTTCAAAAGTCTGAGTATTGGGGCGGCGGTTTTCAAAGGTGTGATTTTGGGGATCATTTGAACTCAAAACATGGTCCTGGTCAGCTCACACCGCCCGCGGATCTGGGTCGGCCTGATCCAGATGTGGCCGAAGCGATCAGTCGAGCACATCCAGGAGATCCTCCGCTTCAAGCTCGGGCTAGCATGGGTGGCATTTTGCAACATACAGAATTCCCAGGTAACTTGCGTGGCGGAAGTGGTGCAGACCTTGATGGAGTTCGGGCAAGCACTATGAGCAGTGGCAACCAAAAAGAATGCCTCGGTCACTTGCGTGGCGGAAGCGGAGATCTATGTCTTCAAGGTCGGGCCTTGCAGTGCGGCGGAAGTGGCGATCTTCCTCTTCAAGGTCGGGCTGCGCAGCATGGTGCGGATCGTCTACAAGCTCGGGCTTCGCAGAGCACTGACGACGTATATCATGGAGATCGGGCTTTTGGAGCATCGCACCTACATGCTGGTCTTGATGGACGCTCCTGTGGAGACCCACGGCATGGTGGCGGAGGAGGTTTGGGAGGTGGATTGGACCCCATCCCAACGTCTTGGGAGACCGGGGGAGGCATCGGCAGCACAAAGGCCGATCTGCCAGACCTGCCTGGGCTGGCCAGTCCACTCCAGTTTGGAGATTGGCTTCACCTCTGCGGCCCGGTCATGCGAGACCTCAGCAGTGTGGCTAGCAGATGGTGGGACCTGACGGTCAGACAAGCTCAGGTGCACTATGCGGACTGGAAGCAGGCGACGCCGTTGCAGAGGGTTCAGATCGAACCACGCGTCCCTGACGAGCTCAACGATCGATGCTATGGGCGCACAGAGCAACGTGGTGTTCATCTACTTCTCAAAGCAGTTTCGCAGGAGGTGCAACAGATGCTGGTGACAGATCGTCAGATGACCAGCACAGCCATTCTCTACAGGCTCTATGTGCGATATCAACCTGGGGGCCCTGGTGAAAAATCCCTCATCCTCAAGGAGCTGACACAACTGCCAAAAACAAGCACTATGGCGGAGCTCTCATCAGCATTGAGGAGTTGGAGGCGACATTTTGGTCGCGCCAGGGAGGTTGGGGCAAGTCTTCCAGATGGAACCCTGCTACTACGAGCGTTGGAGACAGCAGTGCAACTGGTGGCAAAGGAGAACAGTCAGGCTGCATTCAGGTTGGCCCAGAGCAGATCGGCGCTGAAGGTCGACGAGATCCCAGAGCCTGGAGCCATTTGGGACTTCAGTCAATGCTTGCTGGCCGAAGCCGAGACGTTGGTGTTGATGAGCTCTTCGGCATCATCTCCGGCCGACACCACTCCATTGAAGCTGAAGGTCATTGAGGCTGGCGACAATGTGGCTAGGAAAACATCAACTTTGGAGGTGGGATCAACTGGAAAGGGCCGTGGCAGTACAGCCGAGGTGCCATGCCGGTGGTTCAAAAGCGACAATGGCTGCAGGGCTGGCAAGCAGTGCAAATGGTCGCACAGCTGGGAGGGCATCACTGACAAAAATGCCCGGTGTTGGAACTGCGGCTCCAAGATGCACCGCAAGCAGGAGTGCCCGGTGAAGGGTGGTGGGTCAAAAGCCAAGGACGAACCCAAGGGTTCGGGGGGAGGAGGTGCATCCAATGTCAACAACAAGACTTCTGGAGCAACTACTTCCAGTACAACATCAACACCTTTTTCAACGCCATCCACTATGACTCCATCCAAGCCCAAGATCAATGAGCTTTCAGCGGCATCATCGACATCACCTGGGGAGTTGAAGACTGGCAACCTGGTGAATGAAAGCACAGAGTCGGTGACTGATGCGGGCGATGGTGGAGGGGATGTTGGCAAAGATCGCACCAATGAGCGCACTAGTGAGCTCCTGCATGAAGCAACTCAATTGCTGAAGACTTTGCGAGTTCCAGCGGCAGCAAATCCAAAGCTGAAGGTGATG